TGCACCCTTATAATGATGGTCTCGTACTGGGAGGTAACGGTGTCTGGTTTTGGGCCCCCCATACAAACAAAACCGGTGACAAACTGTGAGGTGAGGGGAGGGCTGCTGAGATGCTGTTGTGGTTTGGGCCAGGCTGGCATGTACGGCATATGAGGAGAGGCTAAAAGACCTCATTTTTCTTGTTTGTTTGTTTTTGTTGCCTGGAGAAGCCCAACGGTGGATCTAATTTGCAGTCTTCCCCTGCCTAAAGGGTGGTTATAGAAAAGATGAAGCCAGGCTGTGCTGAGAGGCTCGCAGTTTGAGGACAAGCAGCTGTAGCAAGTTGCAACTGAGGAATGTGCACTGTAGTATCTTACTGGTGACTTAAGCTTCCAAGCCTGCATGTCTTCTACCAGAGGTATAAATAAATTAATTGGCTGTGAGGATCCTTTTTACTGAAGTGATGGGGAAAGACCAGTTGCGAGGTGAGTCATAAGTAGGTAGGTAAGAGGAATTAGAAAAGGGATTAGTTTCAAATCTCCCTTCTGTGGAAGGGAAGCCATATTTAGAAGTGTGGTGATTTCCGTGTTTTTTTGTTGCTTCAGTGATCAAAATAGGGGAGGAGAAGGAAGTAAGAATAGCATCATCTTAGCCTGCTGTACTGGCAGAGAAAACCTGAGTTGAAAAAGGTCTGTTTAGTGGTCCAGGTGTTGTTAATTACCTCAGTTTCTCTTTGAGGTGAGTTACACTGTTGCCCATGCTTGTGTTTAAAGTATTTGAAGTCAGAAGTCAATGAAAGCAATCCCCGGATGCTGACTGGGCCCTTTTTTGTGAGTCTCACCTTTTTAATGTTTCAAGTTGAAACTGTCTTTGGCTCTCAGTAAATGAACAAGAGTTTGAAAACTCTCACCTTGTTATTCTTTTAGATCTGTTTAAAATATAGGATCCTTAAGTTAACTGGTGTTCAGTGTTGTAGTCAATGTGAAAGAATTGAACTATACAGTTGTAACTACCATGACTTAGGGGTTTGTTAGTGCCAAACCCCTATAGTCTATTTGAATGTAAAATCTGGATGTACTGATAAAATAACAGTAGGATGGTACCTTCTGTCCAATTTCTGTTCCGGTTCATAAAAGACAATTAAAATGGAATAATTCAAAGGATACTGAGGCACTGAGCATCGTAGCATTAGGTACAGGGAGGAAATTGAATTCCTATTTCTATGTTTTGGCTCCCCAGATGGAGACAGGACAGAATTCCTCATTTTCAATCAGATGGTATTTTCTTATAGGCAGAATTACAAGTATATGATTAGCCTTTCCCTGCAGTACAGACAGAACTGCTGAGGGGAAGTGAGAAAATATTAGAAATACAGATGTGACAAAACTAGACTGCACATTTTCCCTCAAGACACTTATCTGGCACCCTTCAAAGTTGCTAAACTCTTTAGAGTTGTGCTGAGATCAGCATGTCTCCATTTTGCTGTGAGCTGTAGAAATAGTAAGAGTTTTCTAGGGAATAGTTTGAAATGATCTGATGCTTCTTGTCTGTTTTCCAGTAGTCAACCCAGAATGAACTTTTTAAAAAAGAATAATCGGGATGATGAGTTGGATTTTAGTTATGACACCTCTGCTGCAGTTTCCTAGATTGCACGCTGTCCTCCTTTGTAACGCTCTGTAGAAGACACAATGCAAATACTGGTTGTAATCAATAAACGTACGAAATTTATTTAACTGTGGATACTGTGAATAGTTGTTTGAAATAGGTAAAATACAATGCCGGTGCATCAGCTAAATAGCGCTATTTGTTTTCATCACCTAGGTACCTGATAGACTTTTCATCATACAACTATTTAAACACGGATGTTTTGTAAACGTTTGTTTTTAGGAATCTGTTGGCTCAGTCTTGGTGGCTCTAATTGATTTCCCACTCTGAATGGCATCACCCTAAAAAGGGAGAATAGCAGTTATTTGAGTAGATGAGGTATGGAGTGGCAGCTTGCAAAAGTACTCTTTTTTCTTTCCTTTTTTTTTTTTTTCCAAGTGGGTTGTATAGATGAGTTTCTTCTGTAGTAACCATCCTGTGGTAGCACATCACAAAACTATAGTAAACACTTTAAACAGTGAGTAAAATCAAATTCAGCTTGCTGTAGACTAAATGTTTGATCAGGTCACTCCCTCTGGGTGTGCTGTGGTTTTTGTTTAGTTCATTGTATAACTAAAGAATATGCCAAAAACAACTTGATTCTGATCAAATTAGAACATATTTCTTACTTTGATTTTTGGAAGTAAATGTAGTACGTTTTCATTAATGCAATTTATTTGAAAATCTGTTGGTTAATATATACTCTTTATTCTGCTTTTTGGCTGAATTCCAGCTATAACGAATAGGCTTCTATTACAAAAAACTGTTTACAAATATGAATCAATTGACAGATGTGGTATTTTGATAATATTCAGGTGTTTGCATGTTCTAACTAGATAGCGACTTGTAAGTATATTGTCTGTTCCTTAACAATGCCATCCTTTCAAGCTCAGCACAGGAAATATTGTAAACTATAACAGTAACACCTTTAGGTTTTAATATAGTTCCTGACTGTAAGTTCCAAGTTTGTTTGGCACATTTATAACCTATACAGTACCCTTGATTAGTCAAAGCTCCTGGTTATGGGGCTGTTTTGGGGTGGTTTTTTTTTCTAAACTTGATCATTTGAGAGCACCATGTCTTTGATATACTTTGAAATCTGTGCTTTAGTCTTATCTGAGTAAGCTGCCCTTACCTTTTTTGCAAAAGATGTCCACTGGGGATATAATGCATGAAGGCAGTGTAGTAGTGTAAGAAGGGAGATGTTTTAATATGCATATTTACATGGAATATTGGAGGAATTGTTGAGTATACATTTCATGCGTTGCTGTATTTTTGGTACTTGTGTCCAAGTTGTGAAGATCTACCTCCTCCCCATCCTTACCCTACCCCAGCATTGTAGGACTCTAGTTGCTCATTATTACTGGATTTTTTTACTAGGCAATAAGAAATCTAACCAGTGAATGAGCATCTAAAGCTATGTTGGGTTGTTCCCGCATTTTCCTTATGTTGAAATAAATTTGGTCTGAAAAGCATTAAGCTAAATTTGCAGGTATGGAATAGCCTCATAAAATATGTAGAACAGGTGACTAAATTTTAATCCTGTCTCTATGTCAAACAGATAGTGTTCTTCACTTTCTCACAGGGATTTTTATTTAATCTTTAGCAAAAAGAATGCCTTTGGCTACCCTCTTTGCATACACTAGAGGAGTAGTATTGTCATTATTGCTGATTAAATGAAATGTTTAGGAAACATTTTTATTAGCAAATCAGCTCAGACCTCTTTCAACTGTCACTAAAACAATGTAAGCAAAAAATACTTTCTACTTGGAAAAGCAAATAAATGAGTTGTTACTGAAGATACTAAAACCAAAACCAAAACAAAAAAAACCACCAATACCCAGAAATTGGTCCATTTAACTTTCTTGCTGAAATGCATGTGCAGTTTTTTGGCATAGATTCTGTTCCTAATTTAGTACATTGAGCATGTTTCAAAAATAGGTCGTCTGTTAAATTCGGACACGGTCCATACTGAGAAGTAAGACTGAGAGAAAAGGAAGGTCATTGACAATGCTTTCTCTTTTTCCTGATTCTTGGGTGTGTATTGTAGGAAAAAAGAATCGCTGCGGTGCATGTGGCAAGAAACGTACTGAAAATCAAATGCTGCCATTGTTCTATAAACATCCTTAGATTAATTTTAAGAAATAAAAACCAAAACATGTGAGAATTAGTGTTTTTAAGGCTGTGTGTTCTTTCCAATTCTTACATCATTTTTATGTTTAATATATTTTTCCAGAGAAATGATCACTTTTGTTTACCACCTGTTTCTTGCATTCATAGCTATGTTTCTTAGGCCTGTTCCAGCATGCTGTTGTTTCCTTTCTTTATAAAACTAGATATGCCTAGAATCACTTAACCCCCCCAACATTTTCTAAGGTTTGTGTCTGGGTATTGTCTTGTTGGAAAGTCCTTTTCATCATGTGGAAGAGGTGTGTAAATACAAGTGTGGGTTTAGTGCTGAGTGTAGTCTATAATAGCTTAAGGAAGAGGAGATAGTAAAGTTATTTGAACTGTATTTTTATAGATGCTTTTGTTGAGAGAAAATTAAGTTTCTTGTTTGCCAATCTGTTTATTTACTGAGAAGTTATACATAGCCTGTTCTGTTTAATGGGGTTAACTTCTAAATGCTGTATACAGAGATGTAGAAAGGAAAATACTCAAAGGTGCATTCATTATATTTTATTTTCCAAATTTTTAAACAATTGCACATTGTTAATTTATCATTAGTCTTTAAATTTGGGCATGCAATCTTTGGTAATATACAAAAATGGGCAGTTTATTGAAATTGGCTGTTAAATTCAGCTCTGAAAGAAAATATTTGAATGTAGTACTACAACAGCAATATACTCTGTAAATTTTGAGAATTAGGATTGATACATGTTTAATTTAGTAAGTATTTTAAGAGAAAAGAAAACAAATCTTTCAGTTAGACCAGTCTATGAAACTGGGCAGACCTCAAATTGGCCAACATTTATGCCCCTGATTAATTTTGATATCATGGACCTACTTGTTCATTTGCCAAAACTGTTTTTTGGCATCATAGAATAGTAGCCTTTTGCTTCAATATAGTACTTCTTTTAGGGATAGCTTGCAAGATCAGGATGAACCTCAAGAAATTTAGAGACAACACATAAACCGCCCTTGTTACAAAGAATTGCATTTGCTTATATTTCTTTCCAAATTTTACAATTGCTTACTTGAGGATCTTTTTGTGGTCACATTGATCTTTCTGTATAATTTGTAAAATAAATGTGGTTACAGGTAATTGCATAAGATACCATAACTTTTTGTTTTAAAATAAGTGATACGTGCAAGTTATGCAGAAAGTCTTACATTCTGTAAACAGATGGCTTATATATTTGTTTTTTGCTTTTCAGCTGTACTTTCAGGTTTCCCAGCACAAACATCAAGATAACATTCACAGCTCTGTCCAATGAAAAAAGAGAAAAACAGGAGGCCCCGGAGTCCCCAGTGAAGCCTGTGCAACCCCAGATCTCTCCCTTAACAATAAACATTCCAGACAACATGGCTCACCTGATCAGCCCTCTCCCTAGTCCCACAGGAACTATCAGGTATTTAAACCTTGCAGATTGGATATAGGGCAATACATGGTTACAGACTTGAGACAACTTTCTAATTAATTTTAAGTATTTTGCTTTTGTGGTAAAAGTTTAGTTGAAGCTCAACATAACCTGCCTTGGAGAAAACCACTGTTCTGCTAACTTAATACGATAGTTGCATGAACAGCCTTTCACATTCAAATTTGATATGTTAAATGTGTAACAGGTTTGCTCAGGAGCCTGGCATTCTTAGAATAGCCAAGGAGCCTACCTTTTTCTTGCATTCCAGATGACTTAGAGTGCTTTTTACTCTTGCATGCAACACTTTAAATGAAATAAGTCTAAATTTTACCATTTGTAAACATTCTGGTAGTCGCTGTCCCCCTGAAGTTTATCGTCAGAAAGAATGATTTTTAGGTACCATTAGCATGGAAAATAGACTGATCTCTTACTCCAGAAGATTTATTATTGTTTAGTCATAGCTGTAGGTAAACAGGTGTTCCACTTAAAAAAAAGTGTAAGATGCAGTGTAAGATGATGAATTTATGGTAGGGAAGTCTTCTGCAGGGGAGGTTAATCTGTGTTGTTTACTTGCTGTGCTGCTTAATTTGGTAACTGTAGCCATTGTCTGACCTGTTATTTGGGACCAAACTCAGTTAAACGTAAGTGAGCTGTCCTCACAAACTGGTAAAATCAGTTTAGATACAATTTTTAAAATTCATAGAAAGTTCAGGAGCAAAAATTTAATTTAAAGGCACTGAAAGTTGTGTTTCAAAGCCACATACATGCTTTTGAAAGTTCCCCCCACCCCCCATCCCGTATCTTCAATTGAGTGAAGGACTGTTAATCCTTGATTTTTAAAAATGTAGATCTTGTTAATGAAATTTGAATGTAAGGATAATTGACTTCTTTCATGCTTGCAAAGATCTTGATCTCAATATTGTAGTGTTTAATGAGGTCTATATAAATGGTGGAAGCTGAGAGAAAAGAGATCTAGACTTGACTGTATAACAGGTTTGCTTTCTTATTAAAATTCAGGGAAAACATATCTTGCCTAAGAAAAGACAGAGCAGCTCATAAATATTTCAGATAATATCACATATATCACTACAGTCTTTGCCTCACTATGAATTTTGTAATTCTCTTCAGGGCTTTCATGCACCTGTTGAATATAGTTTATTACAAAAAAAAAAAAAAATGACAGTTTTGAGTCTATTTTGAGAGCAAAGCTTGACAGTTTCTCTTCAAATCAGGCTGTTTTGTAGAAGACTTGTAAACTTGCTTTGATTATACCATATGTGTCGCTTTGTCAATATATGCTAAAGTGAGCACAGTAGAGGGATGTTGTCAGTTGATATGTGAAAACATAGAACAGCAATGACCTATATTTAAAAAAATAAATTAGTTACACGTTTTGGCTCTAATCAAGGATTCTTCCATACAACACTAAAAATCCGGTCTCCCTTGTGTAGTGTGTCACTAGTAGCAAATTGTTGGCGGATTTTTCGTGATGTGAAACTTGAAGAATATATTTTTATATATATTGCTCAACGTACAGTGCCTGCTTTGTTTCTGTACATAAAAAGGGGGGTAGCAGAAAACTTGAGAGGCCAGGCAGACGAAAAAAGCTTGGCAGATGTAAATTTGCTAAAGCTTTATTATATAAATCTAAATAACATTCTCTAGCTTTATTTGGTGTTTGATGTTTTGAACCATAGGTTCAAGTTAAGTTAAAGATTGTCTTTGGAGATAAGGCTGTTTCTGGGGGCATAGCAGGCTTTGTCATTCTAATTTTTAGTTAACTTTTTTGGTATTTCTGAGGACTGTGTTGAAATCAGTTACAATATGAATTGCTGTGAAGTACATGTCCTTTTAGAGAACTACCAAAATTTTTTGGGGGGAGAAGTGGACAGACTGACTGTCTCTTTCCTGTTGGCTAAATGGAAACTGTAGAAGAAGACCAGCTTTGTGCAGCTGGGGTTCCCATGGACTGTGCAAGGCAGAGGGACAACCGTTTGAAAGATGTTACAGTGGAGTTAGATACAATTTTATCTTTGTTTTTCTGTGATGGATAGCAAAATGTGAGGTATCAAGAGCCCCTTCTTTCATTTGTTTGGCACTGTCTTTTGCTTTGTAATAGTGTATCTGCTCTGTTGGCATAATACTGTGTTAAATTGGATGAGCCAGTGTTTGAGCCATCCCATTTATGGATGTTTATGATTTTTATAAATATATATGTGTGTGTATGTATGTCCACATACCTGTAAACACTTAAAATAATGTTTGTTTAGATCTAAATGAGAATCAAACTTCTCTTTCCTCACTGTTTGCTGTATTTTCTCAAATGTGCAAAAATACCGCACAGGAGAGATGATCTTTTTTGAGCAGACTGAATACAAGCATATGGCAGAAATTTCATGCAAGATGTGTTTCTTGTTTCAAATGAGTGTCTTAAAATTTGTGATTGCTTATTTAGTTAAAGTGGACTTTTCTGTTGGCAAGTCTTACACAAATACAATACATCCTAATAAATCAGTTAATCCTTTTTCCTTTGAGGAGGAAAGCTTGAGCTTCATTTGACAGGTTTCTTCCTGCAGTGATTTTAATTCCCATGGATGAGTTAAAGGCTTGGAAGAGGGGGCTTATAATGGAAATACTGCCAGACCCTTAACGGTAGTCTAGAAGCTCTGGTAGTCGGCTTTTCTGCAATAAGAGCTTTTTGATTAGACATAATGTGGTGATATACTGTATAACAAAATAGTAGGATCTTCTTTTTATGCTCTACAGTGCTGCAAATTCCTGCCCATCTAGCCCCCGTGGTGCAGGCTCTTCAGGGTACAAAATGAGTCGTGTAATACCATCTGACCTACATTTAATGGCTGACAATTCACAGTCAGAAAATGACAAGGAAGCATCGGGTGGAGATAGCCCAAAGGTAAACATTGTTTGAAATCAATCCCATAAATTACATCTTAAGTATATGTAAGACTCCTGAAATTTTGTTTGCTAAAGTATATGCACTAAGTAATAATTTAACATTACAGACTTTTAATACAATTTGTAGGATTTTGTGACTAGATGTGAGATTTATTTACCTCTCTTCCCTTTGGAGGAGGGTCTGTATGTATTTTCAGTTATGTATCTGTTTATAGGCTATTGAAAATCCTTTACTGTTGTGTGTTTCTCCCAATTTTAAATGTTATCTTAAAATCTGCTAATTGGAAGAGCAAAATTATCTTAGTTTCTTTTCTGCCTCAAGATTTTGGTCGTCAAAAAGTGACTTAAGTTAATTGTTTTGTAACTTTTAATTTAGAAGGTGTGTGTATATCTTTAAAGTTTAATGATGCAGACTTTTTTTTTCTTGTACAGGACGACTCTAAGCCACCTTACTCCTATGCACAGTTAATAGTACAAGCAATTACAATGGCACCTGATAAGCAGCTTACACTAAATGGAATTTATACGCACATAACTAAAAATTATCCATACTACAGGACAGCAGACAAGGGCTGGCAGGTAAATTTGACTTCTGGAATGTTTTTTTTTCAGTTGTGAGTAATGCTGGCAGCTATAAATGGTCATAAGAAGACAATTTGGGAGCCTAACAGCCCTTCGTAAATAGAATGTGTCAAATGTGTGTTGTCTTTTTCCTGATTGGAAGTTCTCCAGCAAGTGGGAAATTTACATTATTAGGTATTTGAAACACTGCTTTATTCATGGAATGACGTTCTCTAAACCTCTAGGAGCGACATGGACTTCTGGGGAAGGAAAGTACAGCTGGCATTGTGGATTTAAATATATGTATGCTATCTAGGAATGTAGTTGGGTTCTGTAACTTATAATTGTGTAAACATCCGTAGTGTTATCTTGAGATAAAATTAAGATATTAAATATTACTAGTTCAGTTTTATTTGAAAACGGTGATCTTGACCATGCAATATAGTGAAGGAACATGTGTGTGTTGTCTGTCATTATCTTGCACTATTATCTGCCCTTTTTTATTTGTGCAACATAGTCTACTTGTGAATTTAATTGCTTTTGTACTGAGTTAGACCAAACCTTTCCATTCTGTAGAATTAATTTTTGCTTTCTTTTCATTTTTAAAGAGACCAACCCTCGGTATTTGCCAGGATGACTAACTGAGTATGAATCAGTCTGGCATAGTCTTTCCAGATACGCATAAAAGTTCAGTGCCTTTGCTGCTGTTTTTAGCTTCAGCAAAGGACAGAAGAGCACAATTAGCAGGACCGGCCAGTTTGCCCATATAACATTCAGACTGCACTGTCGATCATGGAGTATCAGTTTCACTGTGTTGCTGCTCAGTACAGTCATGATCTGCAACAGAGGCATGCTCTGAAGTTATTTTCAGGGAAGTAAAATTTGGAGAGACTGGAGGAGGGGAAAAGCAAGGAAATGTTAATACTTGTACTTGCTGTACAAGCAGAAAACTAAAGAATACCTGCCTTCTCAGTAGACGAATAGATTTTTAAATATTAATCACATTTGTCATAGGGCCTATATGAAAGTCGAGTCACTGTTAGAGGAATTCCAAGGTTAGTGGGGAATGTAACTGTTCCTAGCTTTTTGCTGATGGTTTGGCCAGTAAAGGACTTGGCTCTTGCTGTGGCTAGGAAGTCTCTTAAGAATTTTGTTTCCGTTTCACACACAAGCAATGCAGAATCCTGGCTGCAGTCATACTAACAAATCTATTTTAGCAACAGGATTCTGTTTATAAAATGTTGGTGTGCTTTTTGCTTCCTATTCTGAAATACCTTGAATATCTCCTTGTATAGTGCTTCTTTACATAAGCATCATGGAACCAAACATCCACATACATTGTAATGCATGGTTAAAGAATGCTGCCTTAGAACAATGTGTGTCTTTACATGTATCATACTTCACAAAATCAAGGCGATAGACGCGGCAGACATAAATGTTCTGGAATAATTAATTAACACCTATTCATAAAAACGATTGGAAAAGCTGAAAATTAGATGCTGTTCAGTCATTAGCCATATAGAGTGCTGCTCTGACACTAACGGGTGTACCTCATGTATGAATAGCTGTGCTAGCTTTTGTCCATCGGGTGTTAGATTACAGTTAGGGTGACTTATATAATAGATCTTTTAAATAATATTTGAGGCTATATAGGTGCATATTGTTCAAAACATAGAGTACACACGTGTATAGTATCTAAATCCTATACCTTAATAAGTAGTATTGAGGTATTTATATCCTTTATTATATAAAGGTCTCACTTTGGTCAGGAGTTGAAGTCTCCTCTTCATTAACTTATTTTAGCAGGTACTTTTGGATTTACTATTTTATTCTAGCATATGGAGAAATAAATACAATTTATAAACATGTTCTTGGTATCTTTCTAGTTCTGTTTCAATTTTTGGCAGGCAAAACCATTTCTGGTTTCATCAGTTTGCATTTAAGAAACCATACATGGTTATCATTGCTTTAAGTTTTCCAAAGTTGCCATCGAGGTCATGAACTCGGACATTTGAGCAGGATTTGCATTTGATTTTGCAAATTTTGAAGAGCTTTTGTTAATGTAAATCTTTTTCTCCCCCCCCTCCCCGTTCCCCCACTAATATTTCAGTATGTATGTTTATCTTTATTTTCTTCTTGTTCAGTGACAATATTTAGAGAGATTTTGGTTTTATATCTCTTCGGTGGGGAAAAAAAAAAAAGATGATGCTTGCAAAGCCAAGCATAGATACAGCCACTTCAGGGTGTTAGCAGTACTCTGCATCTCTCTGATTGACGAGTTGTGTGTGTTACAGCAAAGTGAGGATAAAATAATGTGCAAACTAGAGTGCAGTAATGAAGATCTTGCTGAAGAGCTGTTTTAGGGACCTGCTGCCATTTGTTGTTTTTCTAGACACACTAAACCCTTGGCTCCTTTGATGAGACAGACTGGGCTGTGGGTGAACTCCCAACAATCTAGCTGCATTTGGAACTTGTGTAATTTAACCTGTTCTTTCTGTATTGTGGAACAGTAACAGTATTATCATATAAGATCAGAATCGGTATATGCTGTATTTTACTGGCCCTCCTAGAATGAACCGACATTTGCTTTGACACCTGGGGAAGGGTGATATACAAAGACTGATAATTTTTCATTTTTTTTTTTAACGCTGCATTATGCGCACATATTTGTAGTGTTCTAACAGTTTGTTGCAATCACCGTGTTTGTCATGAGAGAATTAAATGGGATTCCTGTCATTGCCACAGTAGTATACTGGTTTTTTTAATTGTTGGGAAAGATTTGAAAAATGCGAGAGTCCTTTCAGGTTTATGGCACTGCCTTTGTAGTGCTCTGAGTTCTGTTGAATTAAGGAATTAAAGAGCTGAACCCTGAGTCTCCTATAGTACGAACTGCTGCAGTAGGCCACATTCTGACTTAGAAAAGTTATATGAATTCTACATATTTTTTTATGTTCCATAGAATTCAATACGTCACAATCTCTCTCTGAATCGTTATTTCATCAAAGTACCACGTTCCCAGGAAGAACCAGGCAAAGGCTCATTCTGGAGGATAGACCCTGCCTCTGAAAGCAAATTAATAGAGCAGGCTTTTAGGAAAAGGCGGCCTAGGGGAGTACCTTGCTTTAGAACCCCTCTGGGACCACTCTCTTCTAGGTAAGGAAAAACAGATGAACAAAAAGACTATGGCTGTTGTTTAATCTTCAGGCTGATACAGACTTGATAGTTTTGGATACAGTCACAAGTTTAGTAATTTAATTTCATCCAGACTCAGTATTTGAATTCTGTATGATTTACTAGGAGGCTGCCCCATACACTAGGCTTGTTTTTATTGCTTGTTTTTAGTGTTAAAGAACTGACTCAGTTTGTATAATTCAGATTGTTAATATAAGCAAGCCTTTCTGTACCTTTGGATTTTTTTTACAGAATTATAAGGTTAATTTCTAACTGCCATCTACTGCATTTTAAAACTGCTTGCAAAGAAAATTATCAGATACTGGCTACCATTTTATTGAACTTAGAGATGACAATTATGTATTTAGTTTGATAATACTCAAGCAGAATTCATAATGGGGAAATACGTGGGTATAAATTATTCCCTCTGTAAAGTTACGGCCTTTCTGCTGGTGCAGATCTTCTATTACTTGCCCTGTAGACTGAGATTGGCTCATTGTTCTTCTCCACCAGAAGAAATGGTCATGTTTCACAGCCTGTTTAGAGAGTCTCCCTAAGAAGGCATCCAGCCACTACTTCTCCATTAATTATACCTGAAACTTGCTTTTAAATTTTGTCCCTGTTTAACAGAAGCTTTATAAAGATCATCAACTGCTTTGGGTTGTAACTGCACTTGCCAGAAGGCAAAGGTGCCCTCCTGTGGGCAGTGTGTGTTAATGGTCTCTTTAGAGGAAGGTCACTGTCTTTCACAGTTCAGAAGTTAAACCACATCAGCTGCTGCTTTCATTTTTAAATACAGAAGTGCCCCAGCTTCTCCTAATCACTCTGGAGTGTTGTCTGCGCACTCCAGTGGAGTCCAGACCCCCGAGAGTCTGTCCAGGGAAGGATCTCCAGTCCCAATGGAACCTGAGCCTAGTGCTATCCAGCCAAAACTAGCGGTAATACAAGAAGCGCGATTTGCACAGAGTGCCCCAGGTGAGGAATCCTGAAATAAGCGTTTGGGGGTTGGAGGTGGGAGGGGGCTAATATATAAATGCTACCAAGACTTCACATGTACACCAAAAAAGGGGTAAATAATTAACCTCTTAACATTTAGAGCGAATCTTTGATAACAGGTAAACATGCCAGGGAAATTCTGTTTGCATATGTACAGACTGTTATCTGTGTGCTGTTCCAGCACCCTTGATCACTTTGTTACTAAGCAGAGATTGTGCTTCTGTCCTGTATAGGACTGTATTGTCTTGTAACAGTTGTCACTTGCTTTCAAAACGTGTTCTTTCTGGTTTAGGAAAAAAAACCCCAAAACATAAGGTTACATGGGTTACAGCAATAAGCAAATGTCTTGCACGCATCTGTGGTTGTGTCATCCTTTCAAAGGTGGGCATAAAAAGAATTGAAAGGATAAAGAGAAAAATAATAAATAAGAATTTTCCTCTATATATATATAAAAGAAAGAGCATAAGGCATGATGGGATAAGGATGTATTTGATTACCTTAGCTCATATATTTTTGCCCTCTATTTTCCTGGTGATACTCTGGTGCTGCAGAAGTGCCAGTGACCGTTCTGTGGCGAAGGCAAACACGGTCCTCAGCAGAGGCACCAGGCTTTCCCCAGCCTAGGAACCTGAGAGTTTTGCCAATGCAGATGTGCTCCACACAACACCTGAAGCTCATATATGTTCCTATCTATGGAAAGGAGTTTTAATAAATGAGTATTAAATACAGCTTTGGTAGTATAGCTGCATTTGGGGGAAGGTTTGGGGGGCTTTTGCCCAAGTGGTGTATGGGTCTTATTGAGCGAATGCAGCACTTAGCTTGAATATGTGGCTTGGAGTAGCCATGTGTCATAATCTTCATGGTCCGGTTTTATTTTTTGGATCATTCAGGCACTAGTGAAGGAGGTTGTTAATCCTCTGAGGCTTTAGTGTTAAGTTTAAAAGAATGACTGGATTAAAAGAAATAATCAAAATTGGCAGCCTAATTTTTCTCTCTCTCTTGGTAGGATCACCTCTATCTAGCCAACCAGTTTTAATTACTGTACAACGGCAGCTACCACAAACTATTAAACCCGTCACCTACACTGTTGCAACTCCTGTGACAACATCAACATCCCAGCAGCCTGTAGTTCAGACAGTTCATGTTGTCCACCAGATACCAGCGGTGTCTGTCACAAATGTGACTGGATTAGCACCAGCAAACACTTACACTGTAGCTGGACAGGCAGTAGTCACGCAAGCTGCGATGGTAACCCAGCCCAAGGTAGAACCTCAAGAGAATGGAGACCACAAGGAAGTAAAAGGTGAGCACCTGGAGGGGTTAGTTGTTTTGCTAGCTCTCTTATACAGAAGGATTATTATTTGAAACTTACTTCCAGATGAATGCTTGAAATGTTTGGCTAAAACTGAAGATTTTGCATCGTAATGTCTCAGATACGTTGGAGGTAGTAATAAAACGGTACATGTTTTCACTGAGGGTTAATTGAGTAAGAACAAATGGTTCTTTAACACTTTCTTGTTTTTAACAACATTTTATCTTCTGTTTTTCAGTTAAAGTGGAGCCTATACCTGCTATTAGTCATGCTACAATAGGAGCTGCTAGTCGTATCATTCAGACATCTCAGACCACACCCTTACAGACAGTTACTATAGTGCAACAGGCACCTCTAGGTCAACACCAGCTACCAATAAAAACTGTAACGCAGAACGGAACGCACATAGTACCTATCACCACTGCGATACAAGGACAGGGCAACGCTGGTACGTATTATGTCAAGATGTTCTGTTGCTTTGTACATGTTAAAATCTCAACATGATCTGTGCTGAATTTTTGAATTCTGGTCTCATGTCTTGCATAGTTACACTGAAAACTAAGTTCTACAAAAAATTTAGATTACAGTCCTGTAAGGGATTGTTCCCTTCTTGTGGGTCAGAACCAGTGTTTCTCTTCATTGATGATTTCCTGAACGGCTATTTATTTTTGGTGTGGTTATTATAGAGATGTATTTAGAGGTGACAGCCTGTCCTTTCTCCTCATTAAACCCAGGTTATAAACAAGTTTTAAAAGAAGTTCCTGTAAAACAGTGCCATTAAAATGGTAACTGCTCCCCAGATGATTTGTCAAGAACCAGCCAACAGGAAAACAAGACAGAACGTGCTTGTGGGTTGGCTGTTTGAACTGTTACTCATTTATTCTGTTTTTATTGAGCCTGTACCTGACAAAAAAATTCTGTAAGATTTTGAGATTCTTCTTGTCTGAATACCATCTTTTCTCTCTCAGACTCAGCAGTCTAAGTGGGTAGCAGTACTTTTTCATAATTTTCATATTTTCAGACTTGTTCACAGACTGCTCAGTTTTGGTTTGCTTTGCAGGTACATACAGCTTTTTTTCACAGTCTGAGATGTGATCTGATACTGAAGTAGCTTTTTTGTCATAAAATATATTTATGGGTATAATTTTGGGCTATCTTATACCAATTTATTACCTGCATTTCTGCTCTAAAGTCTTTCTAATGGAGTCAATTACAGCCTTTGTTTCCTTTTTACTCTTCTTCCATCACTGACATTTATAGGTCAGTGTTCTGTCTGCTTTCACTTCATTTCCAACTTAAATGTGATAGGGGTGCGCTTGCAGGGGTGGGAGTTTCCACTCTGAGATTCCTGGGCTTAAATACTTTGAGATGTTCACATTTTGAACAGCAAGTGAGGTGTATTACAGGTCCTGGTCTCTCTGTTACAGTAACTCCTAAACCAGCAAGAAACCAGGTAATTCTCAGGCAAGGCATCTGAAGGGGGAATTCAGCCTACAGAAATGCAGATTTGTTTGTATGTGTCTACAAATATGTCTGCATTCACACACATACATCTACATACGTCTGTGTTCACATGCATGCATCTGCATTTACACATACATTTCTCTGTGTGTTTATCTCTTGTCTTTGAAGAAAGATGATGCGTGCAATCTGAAAGCTAAGAAATCCAGAGCAACTACTGTTCTTCCAACATTTTCTGTTTGTAGTAAGCAGGTGCTTTCTGATCTTACTCTCAGCAAAACACTTTGGCAGTGCTTTTTACTACCTTTCAGTCTAACTGAAAGCTGTGAAGTCCAAAATAAATTAAACTCTCTTACATAATTTTATTCTGCAATAACTAGATAGTCGTTATTTTAACTTTCAGTGTAGATTTCAAACATCATTGTTCTTTTGTGTATTTCATACTTCCACTTACGGGTTGTGGCTTCAGACAGCAAGTCTTTTTCTACTAAACAGAACCCAGAGTGAGTAACGCATAGTCTTCATGCATGTTTGAAGATGAGGTGTAAACTACTTGTTTTTATTTAAGCAACAATAAATTTGCGGTAAGGCATTTTATTCAGAAGTAACCATCTCTATGGCATCTATTCAGAAATTGTACAAAGAATAGCTTTTCTCATAGATGCTGAAGGACTGTTGAGATCCAAGGACAAAATCTTTCACAGTTACCGTGAAGCTTTTTGCATCAGGTGAATATTTTCTGAAGTATTTGTTCTACCAGTAAATACTAAGTACAAAGCAATTTAGTTAGATGCAGAGGTGATATTCCACGTATTCTCTGGGACAGCTTGCTAAGAATGAATACAAGTTTATCAAATAAGAATTCCTCATGGACTTCAGGTTTAAGCTCCACTACCAGAGAATACTGTAGTAATGTCAGCAAAGTCGTGGTGCTGAAGAAAGGGAGCTTGTGTGTGGGGGAAAAAAAAAAACAAAAAACCAAAAAAAAAACAAACCAAACCAAAAAAAAACAAAAAAACCCAAAAAAACCCCAGGTGGTTTGGTAATGTTTAGGTAAGTTTTCACAAAACACAATGAACAAGTAAATACATAATTAGTGTTTTGCATTATTTGCAAAGACGTTTGAATTTGGTTTAATAAAGTCAGGGTTGATACTGAGAAGCACACCGCTAGTAAGTAGAGGGAAGGAACCGTTGGATGTCTGGGAAGGTTTAAAGGAGACTACTTGCCCATTAATGGTGACTTGTACTACCTCTTCCATGGAATGAGAAAGATTAAAATCTTGTATAAGATGTTTGAACTATATCTATTTCTGTTGATCTAATTCAGCTAAGCACTTGAATCTAATCCTATGTGTCATTTCTTAATACTACTGGTTAAAGCACTGCCTTTTCTGTACATTGTGGGTAAATGCCTCATTATTTGTGAGAGAAATTGCTTCTTGAGTCATCTGCATCTCATGGCTGTGTGAATTGCATAGCTTTTCTTAAATAACTTACGGCCACAGATGAATATGACGTGGTGGTGCTCTCCTTCCATGCCAGCTAATGAATTCTGCAGTGATCCATAGACACGGCCAGATCCTACTGAAAGGGGATTTTGAATTTGCTCCCCAGTTCTGTCACAAATTACAATGTAGATTGGCTTTCAGTCATTTAATCCTTCTCTGTCTTCAGCTTCCCATTCACAAAATGGAGGTACTTTGCAATTCTTCCACCTTTGTTCAAATATGTGTGAATGTTGAGTGATTTGGGAAAATGTCCTTCAGGTTTGCACAACAGTTAAACAATTGGGCCTGAATCTCAACTGGGATTGCTCATACCCCACATAGTACCGATAAACCAATTCATCATTTTAATGAAAATGCAAGTTTGCTTTCAGTATTGTCTGTTTTGACAAAACAGAAGTTTTGACAAAACTGAAGTTTTCATTATCTTTTTACAGCTGCTGCAAGTCCTTTGCATATGTTAGCAACCCATGCGTCCGCATCAGCATCTCTTCCAACAAAGCGGCAGAACGGAGACCAGTCAGAACAGCAAGAACTCAAACGTATCAAAACAGAAGATGGAGAAAGCATAGTCATAGCTGTTAACGTGGACACCCCATCTGTGGCAGTGAGTGATAAAGGCAGCCAGAACTAGAAACTTAGGGGAGTTTTCTTTCTTTTTTTTTTTTTTATTAAAAAAATAAACTCCATGGTGCCAAAAGGAGACACTTAAATATAACACCTAAAATGTTGGAACATGTTCTCACGCAGTGGGGAAAGGGGCCCTGTGATCAGACTTCAACTTTCAGCACTGAAAAAAACCCAACACAGGTGGCCTTAAAACTTGGTAATTTAAAGTCAAACTGCAAAACATCTTGTTCCAGAGGCTGTGACCCCCGCTCCTCCCTGCCCCGTACTGAACTGTGTACACTGAGAAATACAGTGTTGGGGAGGGCTGCAGCTTTAAAAAAATCTCTATCAGATTATTTTAAGGACTGAGTATCTCAGTGTAACGGCAGCATGATAAGCGCTTAGTGTGAACTGGTTTCAAACGATTGTATATTCCTTAAAGGGAACAGAGGCAAGGAGCCATTTCCTACATCTTGGCAGCTAGCCTTTCATAATGACCTACCCGATGCAGTTGTTGGTAGATATGCAGTATTTTGTTGTTCACATGTGGAATTAGAAATTTTTGAGGTGTATTTTCATTTCTTTGCAAAATAATGGGGTCTTTGACATTTCAAATCACTCCATTTCTACTCCGGAAACTTTGGAATCACACAATACTTTTCATGTGAAATTTTGTTTGGTAAAAAACTGAATGTAGGGTTTTTTTAACCAATGGAATGATTTACTTTTGTCTGTCCTGTTAAAGTTCAGATAAAGCTACTTTATTACATCTGCAAATTTTCATATTTTAGCAGTTGCCTGATAAATTTAATCAAATTTTATTACCATGTGTAGTGATCAAATGCTTCTTTGGGCTTGCATGTAACTGATTAGAAATTACAATGTAAATGAGCCGTTAACTGACGTAAAGAACTGCTATGAATTTGACCAGAGCTGCACTTATCTGTTTCTCTTTCTGCTACCTTTTGCTGTTTGTTACTTTGTGTTGACTTTGACTGTCCCTGGCATATTTTTCCAGTCTAAAGTAAAACAAGAGTCTCGCTTAATATTGTGTATGTTTAAGATAACAGACTGTTCTTCATTTAGAAAGATGAAATTCTTTATCACAAGTCCTTTTAAAAAAAGAGTAAAATTATCTTGTCAGAGGTATATTCGATATTTTTAAGCTTAAGCACCCATCAGTAGAAATTAATCTGACCGGTTTCTCCGTAACACTTTTGGTGTCATACACTGACCTTTTGGGGTCTCCATTAAGAGTAGCTGTTGTGGTTTTCTAACAGTGGCTACCATATTATTATTATTTTTTTTTTTTTTAAGTGTGTGTTCTGCAGTTGAACATTTTAAAATGTATTGGTAATTTCTCACTTTAATTGTGGTAATAGATTCCACTTTACATTTCAAAATTAAATTTAAACGTAAGGCTGCTGTTCAGTCTTTAATTCACGTAATGTCTTATTTCCTCATGCAGTAAGGTGAGTGAAAGCTAGATAGTTGGCTTAATTTGATTCTGATTTTTGTCATTTTCTGTAATAATGATGCATTATTTATATTTCCTTTCCCTCTATGAAAGGAAAAAACTGTATTTTCATGATGGACTGAACAGTTTGGAGTGGTTTATTTAGGCAGCTTTTTGGGAACTATTTACCTAAAGACCAAATACGAGAAATCTGTACAAGTTTTGTGTTCATCCACAAAATGGAACTGTTACAATGTCTCTGCAGATAATACATATTAAAAAACTATGAAAAAAAACTCTACACAAGCTGAATTTATAACAGGCATTTAAAAAAAAAGCATAACCTGAAAAGAAACATTTCTGTAAAATTGCAACGTTTTCTTTAGAGGTTTTAAAAATAAAAAAAGTAAAGTTTTAACATACTTTTTTTAAGAAAAAAATCCAGTACTAGTAATTTAATTTGGTGTTGAATGAATTGACTAGAATGTGGTTTATTTTCAGAAGTGAGAATCTGTTCACAACTAGGGCTAGGTGAATAATAGTGTATAAGATTTTTTAAATAAAATTAAATTTTATTCAGCAAATTAACTAAGTTGAAATTACTCAACAAGTGTGTTTGAAATATTTATGTATATTTTGGGGTGATTAATCCAATTTATGTTGGCAGTACCACAGGAAACGGCATCGGACCAAACACGCCCAGGTGATGAGTTAAGGGTAGGCAAGCCGTAGGTGATGCCCTCCAGGGTAGAAGGGGAGATGAGAATATGGTCTGGGCCCTGATTCTGTAGTGTGGTGGCGTTTTACACTTTTTGGCGCATGTGGAATTTGGCATAAGAATGCGCCTTCGTTCAGATGGATAAGCCATTTGAAAAAACTGTGCGATGTGAGAAAACTGCTTACGGTCTTACATAAAAATAACATATGCTTCTCCATGCTTTTAGTGGTGCAGAAGAATGCTCGTATGGGATAATCTCCCCTGCTTTTGACTAGTGGAGACTTCTCTGTCTTGCGTGTCAGGCCTTACTGAAGTGAGTCGTTGGGTTGTTGAAACAAAACTGTTCCCTGGTTTGTCTATGTATTTATGTGCCTCCCACTTTTTTAGTACAGCGATGGCTACTGCATGATAGCAAAGGCTGAATGAGACTCTTGTCACGCTGCTGCTTCTGAGGTGATGCTCGTGACTTTTCTTAAATTGGTCTTACGTGCTGATCATCCTGGACTCCCACGGTCAATGTGATCTTTCTTTTGCAAATCGAAAATGTCTTCAGGTGATTCATGTTCCTGGAGATTTGACCTCTCTTTAGGAATTGATGGAACGTTTCCAGTTACCTTTTGTGTTTTATGATGCATGGTATTATTTCCTTTTGTGCTCCTTCTGGGCTGCCTGTTCAGTGTTCTTTCTGTTAAGAGCAGCTTTTGTATAAACTTTAAAATGACTTTGAAAAAGACATATGGAAGGATCCAAGTGTGCGTTTGCTTCTAGTGACAGAAGTGCTCATCTCCACTGCCAGCGTGTTCTGTCCTCCTTGCATGAGATCCCTCTCCCTGTCCTTACGCTAGCTTTGGTTTTGATCCAGCTGCGTGTGACAGTGGCCCCATGTCCCAGCAGGTTTGGGAAGGCAGCAGCGCGGTCTCCGGGTCAGTGGGATATTCTTGCCTTTGGACAGGACAGTTCTGTCTCCGTGCTGGCTGGTGTAAGAACAGCTGTAGGGTATGGCATGATCCAGCAAAGCGACACCGAGTCTTCGAAACAGAGAAGGGACTGTGGATGGAGTGGTGTGAAAGACAGTTCTTTTTCATCAGTGTGGTTAGTCTCAGTTCGGAGCTGCTGCCTCTCCCTTGCCCACATTGCAACACATTTACCACGATGGTAGCAAAAGAATGGTATTTTTAATTGTGCTGATTTAGGTAAATACCTGTACCGTGCTAATTCCAAAAGATACAAATGAACTTCTGCTTCATAAACCACTTGACAGTACAGATTGCTGGACAAGAGGCAAAGCTGGGAACCTTTGCCTTTATTTGCACAGTTATTATAATACAGGTTCATTGTAAAATGTTGCCTTTTATAATTACTTCAAAAGTGGAACTTGAAGTTTCAGCAATGTGTGTTCAGATCTGTGTTTTGTATCTTGAGTTTATTTCTCCCTAAAGTTAAATTTTGAGTGGTTAATAGTCATTAATATAGGTTGTGATTTTATATAGCATGTGATTTTTTTTTTATATATATATCTGTGTGATAGATATTGGTCTAAAAAAATATATTTTATATGTATCTCATTTACACTAAATTGAGTGCTACTTTCTACTAACCTGATTGACCCCTTTCTATACACCTCTTAACTATATAGTTTAACATTCTTACTTAGAATCCTACGTTGTGTCTGACACAAAATTAATTGATGAAGGCAATGTCTGAAGTGAGTAAGTGCATGGGTTGCCTTTAACCATCACGTTCTTGATCTTATTTGTGGACTGGCAAGTGAAAACAAGCCTTACTCCTGCTTCTACTTGTTTTCTTTCCTAACTATTAATCAACCCAGACTTTGAATTAAGAATTATTTTTTGTATCAAAGAGTCTCATTCTTCTAGAAGTTGTGTTAGCATTTGGGGCTGATTTCAGGTACGTAGCCAGGGATTTGCATTAGTTCACTGATTTGACTTTAAAAAAACGTTGGCCACAAATGTATTGATTTAGCACAGACTGCCATGCTAACAGAGAGATTATTATTTTTTAAAAAAAGTTTAATGAGATGTGCACTTTCTGGAATAATTTGTATTAATGGTGATTTGGTTTCTGATCCTCTTTTTAGTTATGTTGCTATGATTCTTTTTGTTTCTTATCAGAGTTGGGGAAATGCTTTTCTCTAAAGCACTAGAAAAACTTACTAGAATGCTGGGTCTGTTTTTCATGTCAATACTTCCAAGAGTTGGGGAGAAATCAAAGGAGGGCTATGAAACTACTTTAAAGGGCTGGAATATTGGAAGATGGAAGAAGATAACCTATTCCTTTAACAAAAAGAATGGACTATTGTGTGAAATTCCACAGGATCTCTTATAGACCAGACCAAATAGAGTCCTTGGCTTGTTTAAACAAATACAACCTTTGGGGAAGAAGAAGAAGAAGAAGAAGGAAAAAAAAAAAAAAGAGCAGTAGAATGGATGCATTGAAACGGCTTAATAAGAGGTAGATTCACTAGTGTGTGATGCCAAAACATGACTGTCTTTTTGGAGCGCACGTTATTCCGTAGCCTTTGTATTTCAGTCAGCAGCGTGTCACAGCCCGGTTCGCCTACATATACAAGAACTAGTCTTGTGTATCGCATTTCCTAACTTTACCAATTAATCATGTGTTTTCTACTTTAATGTGACTACTTAAAGGTTCTGAAAGAAATACTCGTATTGTGTGGCTCCTGCTGGCAAATACCTGGAATTACCGTTGAATTTATTGCACTGGCTAATCTTTTCGTTTTCCTTTCAGGATTTTGAACTGTGAAACACACAGGTGCTGCAGAAAGAGATAGCAAAATAGTGGGAGAGAACGCATTTAGTTATTTTTAAATACAAATGAAATTAATAATACATATATTTAAATAGCT